GCTTTCCTTACCTCCTTCCCTTTCCCTTTTTTCCTTTTCCTTTTTTCTTTTCCCTTTTTTGCGCTCTGATTCACAATGTGACAATATATATTTATTTATTTTTATAAGAAAAAATATATGGCTGTCCCCCAATGAGGAGAAGGCAGCTTTTTATATGAAAAAGAAAAAAAGAAAGAAAGGGAGGTGCAGCTACTGGCAAAATGCTCGGTCTTTGCGTTAGCCGGATCCCCACCGGCGGGCCCACTACATTTCTGACTACTGCTGTTGGGGGGTGGTGGGGGTCAACATGATTTACATCGTTTGCGACGAGGCCTTATGCGTGCAGGGCTCCCCTCTTTATATATATATATCGTCACATGAATATCAGAGTGCAAAAGCGAAAAAAAGAAAAAAGAAAAAAGAAAAAAGGTATATAGTCTTAGTAGTGGTAGGAAGTTAGTGAAAGGCAAAAAAAAAGAATTTGAGAGAATAACATACGACCTCGCTGCACTACTCTCGAACTGTGCAAAACGAGAGTGAATCTTCCGCTAGAACATGGAAAGATACATGGCCATGATTTTTGTCTTTTGTGCATGTTGAGAGTAGTGCAGCGAGGCCCATAGTGTGTAATTAGAAAAAAAAACAAAAAACAAACACCGTTTTTGACAGCACTCAGGGGCTGTATGGCTGAATGGTACGCCAATGAGCTATTAGTAAACAGACCTGAGTTCGATTCCTGATTGGTTTAGATGGATGTATAAGTAGATCCGAAATGAGCTACTAGTCTTCCAATTAATTGCTTGATTGTTCCTTTGTCTATAATTTGGAACTCTGGATGATACAGCGATGAAATGTTGATAAACAGAACAGACCTGAGTTCGATTCATGCTAAAAACAAAGAAAAACAAAAAAAACTAGGCGACCAGAGTGGCCCGGGGTCACTTGCCCGGCCGGGCCAAAAAAATAAAAATAAAACATTATTTTTTAATTTTATTTTTTATTCTAAATTTGGTGAAGAATTTCGATGTGACCCTGAGGCAAAAGTTGTTCAGTTTATTTTTCTGCATAACATAGTTTTTTTTTCGGATTTTTTGGGTTTTTTTTTTTTTTTTTTTTTTKYTGGGACCTTCCCTGGTCCTTGCACGGGCTGGCCACCCGGGACCCGGGCGGCCCGGCCCGGCTGGTAGCCTAGAAAAAAATTAGTTCGATTCATGCTGGGATCAGATGCATAAATCATCTCAGGGGCCGGACAACTTGCCAGGAGAAAGCAGCAACCCCGCCTTTTCTCCCTCCCCCCCTTGACTCAAAGGCAAACCCACCCATCCATCCCTACCATCATCAATAAGCCTACCATCATCAATAAGCCGTTCTCTCCCCCCCCAAAAAAAAAAGAGAAAGAAGGAAAGTTTAAGAGATGGGGGTGAAACAAAGTGAAGCACATGTGATGACTCTGACGAATCTGAACACTTGGCAGGAGGGATACCGTCTTCCCCGAACACATTACACCCTCTTTCAGGACTGTACTTGGCCTGGAAGATAGCGTCTATGCATTCATTCACGATGCGGATTCATTGTGTTTCGGAGAAGAGGATAGTGTAATAATTTACTAACTTGGCTTTCAGAAATTAAAAGCTGGCTGGAAAAGAACAAATAGTTCATAGAACTGATGAATAAGTACTGCGGCTCAACCCATATATGCGGAGAAAACATCCTTTTTTATGTTTAAAAAAGAAATAAAAGTAGTGCGGCTTCTGCCTCTACGGGATTTCTGCCTGCGTACGATCGTCTTTTGAAAAGAAGGTATGTCCCCTGTGCCTTTTTAATGTTAAAAAAAGAAATAAAAGTAGTGCGGCTTCTGCCTTTACTGGATTTCCGCCTGTACGATCTTCCTTTGAAAAAGAAGGTATGTCCTGTGTGCCTTTTTTATGTTAAAAAAAGAAATAAAAGTAGTGCGGCTACTGCCTTTGCTGTGGTTCAAGCAAATTGAGAAATGGTTCAAAAAAGGGGAAAGGAGAAAAAAAAAAAGAAAACAAGGAAAGGTGGTCGTCATAGTTGTCTCTGGTCTGAAATTTAACCCGAAGCAGTGAATGCAGATATAGTGAGCATGCCTTGTATTTTTTGGGGTAATGCCTCAATTGTCCATCCGCTATGGCTGATATCTTGGGTGACGATTTCGGTTGGCAATGTGTTTTTTCTTCTTCAGGTTGACAGTGCGAGTCAGAGCAGATGATTCTGCGACGAAGCCTTCTCTTACGATTGAGGACCAAGGGATGTTATCTCCAACCAACTCGACTATTTTCGATCGGCAAGTTAGAGATGCAGGGCTTGAGCTGTTTGAAATGGACCCGTTGGTGGATGTGCTGGTCCTCAAGAAGTAAGTAGAAACGCATACAAATTGAAATGGATTGAGTGGAGGAAATAAGCAATCTTGTCCTCACGGAAGGAAGTAGAAACACGTACCGATTGAAATGGGATTGAGGGAAGGAAAGAAGGGAGCTTTTACCCAACTGCTGTCCATTGTGTCAAACCCGGCATCGACATTTACCTCGAAGACTCTGCTTACACTGTCCCTTAACTTGGGGTCAACCTTCATGAATAAACAATCTCCCCATGCATGCATGTATGTATTCATACATGTTTGTGTGTTTTGTATTTGCTCAACACAATTCCACAGAAGCATGCTTGTTTGTGTATGTGTGTGTGTGTGTGTGTGTGTGTGTGTGTGTGTGTGTGTGTGTGTGTGTGTGTGCGCCTTCATTTGTGTGCTATCTTTAAAATGTGTGTGTGTGTGTGTGTGTGTGTGTGTGTGTGTGTGTGTGTGTGTGTGCGCGCGCTTCGCTTGTGTGTGAAATCTTTTAAAATGAGTGGATATGGCCCAATAGGCATAGATCACCCATTGAGTAAATGTAAGTAATTACCACGTGTGCACCAGTGTAATCTTATTTTGTGAACCATTGTAACTGCAATTGCTCTGTTACGAGGCCCTTCTTCTTTCATTTACAATACACGAATCACACTCCATGCTGGAAGTCCTTCCCCAAGAGCATAGTAGTGGTTTTCTGTACGTATCTAACCCTAGGTTTGGCCAGGTTCAGCCGAAACATTTCCAGTGTTAGCATGCCAAAACGTGTCACGAAAGAACATGGACTTGTCACTCTGTCAGGCCATGCTGGACACATTGGGCCTGAATAGAGAGGGGTGTGGGGCTCTGGCAGAGTGTAAACCGAGCCTAGGTGGAAATGTTGCACGGACGTTGTGCAAGCTAGGCGTAAATTCCATGGGGTGCATACTGGGCCTGTAGGCAATTCAATATATATATGTGACAAACTGTTTCGTCGGAGTTTCACCGACTCATCAGGAGGCTGAACCCTCAACAGTCTGCAGAATCCCCTCACTGCTTACACTGTAAGTGATAATCCACCTTAACCAAAATCAAAGTAGACTATCACTCATGCACACCAGATGGAAAACTCTACACGGTCTGTAGAGTTTTCCATCTGGTGTGGGTGAGTGATAGTCTACTTTGATTTTGGTTAAGGTGGATTATCACTTACTGTGTAATCAGCGAGGGGATTCTGCAGACTGTTAAATTTGTTGCCATACACATGGGGACCAGATGGAACGAGAAATGCAAAGTCGGTTGAGTCTACAACGAAGACTGTGTCTACATGGAGGATGTGCCCCAATGAAGTCCGGACTGAGTTTTTACGTTGGGTGCCAATGAGAAGGAGATCTGCAGTTGGTACACCCATTAAACTGTTGAAATACGGACCCCAGTTTGAATCCAAATGCAACCAGATGAACGAAAGACAATAATTCACAACAATTACCTGTGTCCAGTCAGTGTAATCGTGTATCTCAAGGCAGTCGCTCTTTTCACTGAAAAGAAAAAGGAAGGAGATCTGCAGCCCAGTCAGGCCGAGATCAGTGTCTGATGAAATTTAGGTGGAGAACGAGTCTGATTGCATACGTGCCTTTTACCTGGTGTAAACTATTACGTAGAAATGCTTTTATGGACTTTTAATTTGGTTGTGAAATCTGTAAATAAGGGAACCGATTTGGTTTTCTTTCTTTTCATTTTGTACTGATTCATGTAGTTGAATGAAATAAGGAAAAGGAAAACGAAATTTAATTTTTTTCATGCTCTGGCGTGTTTCTCTGTTTGCGTGTTTTTGATGGTCTGTGCTCTCTCGTTGTTCTTGCGTTGATTTTTTTTTAAATTAAAAAAAACATCTTTGACATGTGCTTTTTTGAAAATTTAATAACATCTTTCAATGATCTTTGACATGTGCTTTTCTGTTTTTCTAATAACAGCGTTGACATGTGCTTTTTTGAAATTTTAATACTATCTTTGACATGTGCGTTTTTGAAATTTTAATAACATCTCTGACATGTGCTATTTTGAAAGTACTTTTTTGGAAATTTAATAATAACATCGTTGACATGTGTATTTTCTGCAGAATGGCGAACCAACGAGATGCTCCTGAAAGCCCAAGGGAAGGAGATGATGTTGGCCTTACATCAGTTAGAGTAAGATGTTTATTTGACTGTATAACCTTTTGGTTTTATGTGATAGCAATCTTTTAGTGCCCTGGACAACCATTTTCTTTTTCAATGTAACATTTGCTGTCATTTCTTGTTTATGAAGTTGATATGAACATATTTATGTAGTCGTTGTTGCGATCCTCGAACGAATCTCAGTTGTTGAGATATGCGCAAATCGTCTGAACTCTGGCTTCATATTTTGAGAGCTGCATACAAGGCTCTAGGTACCTGGTAGCCACTTTTTCTCCAACCCGGTACGCTATTGCTTGCAAGCCTACTAACTTGTGCGCTGGCGTGCCTGCTCTTCCATCCCCCAATCTCCTCCTCTCCTTACCTCTGTGCATGGCGATGAGTTTGATGACCTAGATAAAGAGCTCACTGCTGAGGGCCGGCTCATCTGCTTTTTCCTTCAGGCAACTTTTGTCCCCTACCTTATTCTTCTCTTGTTGTTGTTGGTTTTTTCTTTCTCTCCTCCTTTGTCTTCTTCTTCTTTCTCCTCCTCTATCTTCTTCTTGTCGACCTGTACTGTCACCTTCAGTAATCCTCACTGCCCTATGTGCTCTCTCTGTTTTTGGACACATCTCCCTCGTTCTTGTTGCCCATCTATCTCATGGCTGCGAAACACTCTTTCTAGTGCTAGTGTTTGCATGTGTGTTTTTCCACGGATTTGCATTGGGATGCATGGCAGGGAGAAACGAGGAAACACGCGGGG